GGGTGTGGGAACATCCCTGGCACTCGGTGCAACGTCTCCTCTGTCATCACCACCACGGGGTTTTATTATCTCCGTGTGCAGGCCAGGGCTGGGCACAACAAATCCTGTCTGTCCACTGAGGTCAAAGTGGATCCTCTGAAAACCAGTAAGGAAACGTGTTTTCTTAAATTTTCCTTTCTCAACATCTGGCCCCCAGTGTCGTTATTACTTCCAGGAGGATGGAGAGGGACTGGGGACAAGGGGTGGAGGGACAGGACACAGGGAATGGCTTCAAACTGCCAGAGGGCAGGGAGAGATGGGATATTGGGAAGGAATTCCTGGCTGGGAGGGTGGGGAGGCCCTGGCCCAGGTTGCCCAGAGAGGCTGCCCCTGGATCCCTGGAAGTGTCCAAGGCCAGGCTGGACGGGAAAATAATCAAAATATTTCTCAGGACTTTACCCAGAAACTCAAGGTAAAGGTATGAAGTTGGACTTTTAAATATGTGCTTCTTAAAAATTATCACAGGTTTCAATGACAGCGTTTTCTGCAATATTTTTTAAGTCGTATTTTTAATCTTGCTTTTGTTTTTAAGATGAAATTGGCCCTCCTGGGGTAAAGCTGGACATCAGTGACACTTTGCTCCATATCCAGATTTCTCCTCCGGGGGGACCCGAGGGTGAAACCATGAGGAACAATTATGTCCTGTCCTACCGGATTCTCTACTGGAAGAATTCATCAAATGATGAGGTTTGAGCTGGTTGACAAATTTTGTGCACAGCCACGAGTGTTTATGACGTAAATCCTGAGTTTGAATTCTCCTCAAGAAACTTCTTTTCAAGAGAGGCACAGATATGATGGATCAGTCTGAAAAAAAGACAATTTGTTGTTTTTTTTCTGAAAGATTCTTTTAAAAATCTGATCACGATGATTTTATCACACAGTGGGTGAGATTTTAATCTCTTTCCCTGGATGGGGCCGTGTTTGATGTTAGCTGGGGTGTAAAAGCTCTGTGCATCATAAAACCATGAAGTCCTGTGTGCTTTTAGCTCACAGTTTAATGGGTCTTTCCATATTTAAATACTTCTTACAGTAAAATATTTTACAGCAGTGGCTAAAAGGTGGAGGAAGAGAAGGAAACCAACTGCAGCAGGAGGAAGTTTCCTGTTGCGCAGAGCTCGGAGCTGTGAAGTTCCACGGTGGTGGAAGCAGTTGGTTCCTGAATTTTCCTTGGGAGATAATTGGGTGGTTCCTTTTATTTGCTTTAATCTGAGTGCCCAGGGAGGTGCTGGAGTCACCAGTGTCCCAGAGGCACCTGGGGGTGGTTCAGGGACATGGTTTAGGGGACCTGGTTCAGGGGTGCTGGGTGACAGCGGGACGGGATGAGCCTGGAGGTCTCTTCCAGCCTCGATGGTTCTGGGATTCCGTGGTTGCAATGACATTGTGCAGAATTACTTCTTCATCAAAATTCTCACCTACCTAAGTGATTCTTGTGCTGTTCATGTGCACCTTATTCTCCCATTTTTGGCTTTCCAGCAGGAGGCCAAAGCGAAGGAGACAAAACAAACGGTGGCGACAATCCCCGACCTGGAGCCCCAGAGCTGGTACTGTGTGAAAGCCCAGGCCTTGTCGGAGGCTTACAACAAGAGCAGTGTTTACAGCCAGGAGGAGTGCATCCAGACCCCTGCAGGTAGGGGAAGCTTGGGAACTGGTCCCCCTCTGCCAGTGGGATTGTTGACCCTTCACGGGCCTTTGCAGCTCTCACGAGTTAAAAACTCTGGGCAGGAAGAGCTCACACCTCGCTGGGCAGAGAGCTTGAACTCCCAGTGCCTGTAAGATGTTTTTAGGAATCACTAAATGCCGTGTTTTCAGGAATATTTTATGCTTGGAATGTTCACAGTTCTCCTGTGAACGAATTCAGTTTTTAACAAATGCTGTGCTACAGAGTAGGGAGACAAATCATCTGGCTCCTTAGAGCCCAGAGCTCACCCTGGTGCCAAGGGAGGCTGGGTGGATTAACACTCCCCCAGAACAGAGGAGCAAGTTTTATGGTGAAGATAATTGGCCAAATTAAATTTTATTAACACTAGAAAAATTGCTACATATCCAAACTGTTTAAGAAAATGTAATAACAGTAATACTCCAGCACATTGCAAGCCTTTAGGATTCATTTATATTGTGGTCCTGCTTTGTCTTTATCAAGCCTTAAACAACCCAAATGTTGCTTTTTTTACCTTCATTAGATAAATTCTTTAATCTATTTTGCTAGTTAGTAGTCTTCCCATATCCTTCTATTTTAATGAGCTTATTTAAGCCCAAGCAGCACATTCAAGGCAGATCATGCCCTGCCTTTCCCACATGTTCTTACATCCCAGCGTGGAAATCTTTCATTCTTTGGTCACAAAAAAAGAGACCTGATTGTCTATAATTCTGATTATTTGTAGAGTGTCTCTTGATATCTATTAATTTTAGTATGTTCAAACGTGCTTCAGTTTATTACAGGTAGTCAGAGAATCACAGAATGGTTTGGGTTGGAAGGACCTTAAAGCCCATCCAACCTCGATTGTTCTGTGTTCTTGTGTTTGATAATTTTTTTCAGTAAAATTCTCTAAGGTATTGGAATAGCAGCAGTTTTTCATGTGATGATCCTGCAGCAGGTTTGGAGCTGATCTGTTCTTTAACCCTTGGTGCTTACAAATACCTGGACTGAAAGGGTTTTATTACGAATACCTGGACTGAATGGGTTTTATTCCTCTCTTTAGAGAAAGCTTTCCCCCTGATCATTTTAGCCACGTTCATGGCTGCCCTGTTTGCTGTCCTGCTCGTGGCCCTGCCCCTGGTGTTTGTGCTCTACCAGGCCTACAGCAAAATCAAGTATGTGTTCTTCCCATCCTGCCAACCTCCGCTGAACATCGAGGTGAGCTGACACTCCTCTTTCACTGAACAGATTATTCTGGGGAAAATGAACCAGAAAGTGTTGTGGACAGGGGTTTCTCTGTTATCCTGGTCTTATGGGAACACCTGGGGTCTTATGGGAACGCCAGGATTGACTGTAGAGGTTTTGACAATGGTTCTCCACAAAGGCAGGGATTGCCTCCAGTTTCCACCTCCAGTTTCCAGATTTTCCTTCATTTCTTGTGTGGCCTCCTAAGGCTCTAATCCATGAAATATTGCAGTTCTGTAGGTGATTGGCAACCGTGAGCATAGCAAATGAGATGTGGTTAATGTTTGAGTTGTTTAGTGTTTGACTGTATGAATGGGATGATGAGGTGGGGTCGGGCTCTGCTCCCAGGGAACAAGGGACAGGAGGAGAGGGAACGGCCTCAGGCTGTGCCAGGGGAGGCTCAGGTTGGCCAGGAGGAGGAATTTCCTGCTGGAAAGGGTGGTGAGGCCTTGGCAGGGGCTGCCCAGGGAGGTTTGGAGTGCCCAGCCCTGGAGGTGTCCCAGGAAGGCCTGGCCGTGGCACTCAGTGCTCTGGGCTGGGGGACAAGGTGGGGATGGGGCACAGGGGGGATCCATGAGCTGGGAGGGGTATTCCAACCTCAGTGATCCTGGGATTCTGTGAACTGAACTTCATCCTAATTTTGAGTTGTTGAACTTGGGTAACAAATGGCCTGTTAGAGGCAGAAAACCTCATGATGCTACTCAGCATGATCACAGAATCCCAGAGTGGTTTGGGTTGGGAGGGACCTTGAAGCTCATCTAATTCCCACCCCCTGCCACAGGCAGGGACACCTTCCACCAGCCCAGGTTGCTCCAAGCCCCGTCCAACCTGGCCTTGGACACTTCCAGGGATCCAGGGGCAGCCACAGCTTCTCTGGGCAACCTGGGCCAGGGCCTCCCCACCCTCCCAACCAGGAATTCCTTCCCAATCACCACCCTCACAGTAAAGAATCCGATAAACCAGATTTGTACAGCTGTGGTGTTAAGCAGAATCATTATTTAAATTATTTAAACCATTATATAAATATTGTGTGTGAATGTTCACCCCTCCCTTTTCTCCTTCTCTTTTCTCAGGGGTTTGGAGGAGAGCTCTGCACCAGCCCTTATCTGTCAACTCCAGAAGAACCAATAGAGAATTATTCTATAATTGACTCTATGATCACAAATGAAGGAAATCAGATCGACTGCAAAGGCTACAAACATTCCAAACAGAGCAGTCGGGACTCAGGGAATTACTCCAACGACGACAACACGTCAGGGAGCAAAGGCTCGGCAGAAACTCTGGAAAAGGAGATAGTGTAACCCTGAGGACAATAAAATTCCTCTGTGGGGCTGGCACTTTGATAAAACCTCTTCATGAGGAAGACACTGTGACTGTCGGGCTCGTTGCCTTTGGGTTTCCAGATCTGCACTTTGTTGGTTGGTTGGAATCACCGCGAGTCACACGATGGACTCATCGTCCCTTGCACTGATGTGGGGAAACATCCACCTTCTGCGTGGATCTGGACACTCTCTGTACTTGAAGCTGATGATCAGCAGAGCCCTCGTGTCCCACAGGAGGGTTTGTGTCTCTCTGTCTCTCACAGAGGGTTGTGTCGAGCCCGGCGCGTGCCAGGCCGTCGCCGCCGCTCCCGGCGTTGACTCTCCCAAATGTTTACACAGGCAGGAGGAAATCCATGCTGGATACAATCCTAAGGACTTCTTGGACATTCTCTTCCAGCCCCTCAGGGGCAGTGCTTGTTGGTTCAGCAGGTCCAGAACGAAGTGCCAAGACACCAAAGGTTGAGTCAGTGAAGGGCTTCTGGGGCTCCGTGTGGGATTCCCACTTCCTTGTCCATGTCCATGTATCCTACTCCCCGTTCCTGGAAGTGCCCAAGGCCGGGTGGGACGTTGCTCTGAGCAGCCTGGGCTGGTGGAAGGTGTCCCAGCCCATGGCAGGAGGTGGGGCTGGATGGGCTTTAAGGTCCCTCCCAGCCCAGGCCAGTCTGGGATTCCGTGGTTCCCCCTGTGTGCTTCTCCCACTCATGGTTATCCAGGCAGGGATTGGGATGGGAAGAGGCAGAAAGGAGCTTCCCTGGGCTGTCAAGGGAAATGTCCTGGTAGAATCTCTTTGCTTGGGTCCAGTTGTTTTGGATTCAGGACAAAAGCCCCAGCAAAGGTCCAGGGCTGTGCTGTGCAGGAGCTCCCTGGGGGCTGCAGATGAGGAGGCACAGTGGGAGGCACAATCCTGATTAATTAATCCCCCTCCCATTCCTACATAACCAAAAGTGCAAAATATTTACTTCCAAATGGATTTCATTTGGAAACAAAAATCTCCTAAAAAGGATGTAACTTATTTCTGTAATTATGAGGAGCCAAGGCGAATTTAGAAAATGCCTTTTAAGGGTGTTTGTCACTCAGAGCTTTTCCAGCTCAGTCTTGTCTTGCCAACAGACTTTTCTGTGTACAAATGATCAGGATGTGCTCCAATAACATTTCAATTTACATATCACTGTCTGCTGGAGTTAATTTTTTTAAGTAGCTTATTTTTTTATGAAGAAATCGCTTTGGATTGAGCTGGGTTTGAGCATCATGTGGACTTTTGTTTATTCTGACAAGGAACTCTTTGTGTTTATATATCTTTTTTTTTTTAATTTTGAAGACGTTGCCTAACTTTATAAATTTAATGCCCTTGTGTTCATTGAAGAACATAATAAATTTTGCACATTTATTTCTTTATCCCTTTCTTGGTTCTGTGTGTTTTTGATGAAGCTGCGCCGTGGAAGTTCCCAGGAGTCCTCAGTTGTCCTTCCTGAAAAACCCAATGTGAAGGATATCACAGAATATCATTTTATAGGATATAATAGAACATGATGTCACAAAATATCATACTATAGAAATTAATGTTGGGAGTGTTGCATGATTTGGACAAATTCTATTTAATGTGGAGGGTTTCACTGTCAGATTTCAAAGCAAAGCAAGCAAAAGTTTCTGAAATAGGCAGAATAATTTCCAGGCAGTGCATGTTTTTTTTGGGAATGTAGAACCAAAGAGATGCTAAGGAATATATATTTATACTATGAAGTTTGGTAATGAGATGAGTTACAGAAAATCTTGTTTCAGCTCCTTTAGTGTGGCCAGAAGAAGCAAAAGCAGAGCTGTGAGATGGAAACACTCATTGATACATTTGACACTTAAACTGGAAAATTCAGTTCCTAAACACCTGAGGCAACTTCTTTCTGATTTGTCTTAGATGAACCCAGGAATACTTGGGAAAGAACTTAAAATTTTACAAATCACTCCCCAGAGCACTTTATTGTCGTGCATGAAGGAACTTGGTTTCAGTGGATTTTGTTCCATTCCCAAAGTCCTCCTGAAAATGCAGCCCTTGGAGTGCTTTTCTTCTTCCCAACAGGATGATCTCGGAGGTCTTTTCCAGCCTGAATGATTCTGGGATTCTCTTCCTGAATTTATGCAGTGGGGTGAGATCCAGCCCCGTGGAAAACTGAACCCTTTCAGCTGGACAATGTGGAGTTGGGTTTGTCCTGAGGGTGGAATCACCAGCAGGTTCATCCAAGTCCATGTTTTTAAAGCCAACCCCTTCCCCCCGTTGGTTGTGTGGGATAATTGGGATCCAGCTGCAGCCTCAGTGGGGGGGAGGAGGAGGCAGAAATTCCCCATCCTGGGATTGAGAGCTGAAAGGAAACCAACATCTGGGAATCATTTTCCATGTTTGGTCCCAGATTCTGTGACTTTCCCATGACTCCTGCTTTTGGAGTGGGTTTTGTTGCTGGGTTTTATTAGGGTTTATTTATTTATTTGTAATTTATTGGGAGGGGTATTTATAATTTATTAAGGTTTATTTATAGTCTACTATGGTTTGTTTGTTTATAATTTATTAGAGGTTATTTATGTATTTATTATCTACTAGGTTTTATTATTCAGGCTCATCCACTTGATGAGTAAGAACATAGAGCTAAATCCATAGTAGAGAACCCCCTGGGTGGTAAATCCATGTGGGCTGTTGGATCATTTTCCTGGGGATGCTTTGCTGAGGGATGATTGTGCAGAGAATGTGACTGTGCTTTGCACTGACACAATGTATTTGTATTTATTTATCTTCTCATGTTAAAATTATATTTTAAAATTCATTTATTATACTATTTATATTTTATTGATATAATATTTCTAAATATATTTCTAATTGCATATGGCTATATTGAATATTATAACTGATAATATTTATGTATTATGTCATTTATTATTAACTTTGTATATTTATTGTATTTTTAATGTATAACATTTGTTATATATTATGTGATCATAATATATAGTTATATATATTACATAATGTTATGTATATTTTAAATATATTAATATATATTTTATATATTAATATATTAATATATTATATATTTATATAATATATTAATATATTAATATATTATATATTTAATATAATATATAAAAATATGAATGTATAAATATACAAATATATTAATATATTAATGCATTATATATTTTATATGATATATAAAATATATAAATATATAAATATATTAAATATTTATATATTTTAGATATTTATATATAATATATATTAAAATATATAAATATATTTATAATAAATATAAATATATATTAATATATTATATATAACAACAAAGTACTGCAGGGATATGCTTTAAGAATCCAAGGCACCAGAAGTGCCACTTTTTGACAAATGGGATTATTTGTCATTGCTGCCTGTGACAGATAATCCAAACTTCTTGAAAACTTGCTGGAGTGATGGATCATGGACAATTGCAGGTAAATTTCTAGGAATGTGAGCAAGACTTCCTGCAGCTCTTCCAGCAAGAGTTACCTTTGAGTAATGATGGTAAATTCTTGTTTTCACCACAGATGGTATTTCCAGTCTTATTTTCCACGGAGGCAAAAAAACCCCACAGCCCTTAAAGCTGTCCCTGATAACTAATATCCCATTAAAAAACCCACCTGACACTGGGGGCTCTCAGGACAAAATATTTCATTCAGGTTCTTGGAAAACACTTTGGCAAACCTGTGAGATTTTTATCTTGGTTTTCCAGCAGAATCCCAAAGGTGTCGGAGTCCCTGGACAGCAGCTCTTGGCTTGTTTGCCCCGGAACCAGCTGGAATATCAGGAAATCATGATTTGACAGAAAGAGGAACAGCCCTGGGGGAGTTTGCTCAGGGAGGCTGAACCATCTCGTGTCTGTCAGTAAGTGCCTAATGACTGTAATTAGTAATTACCCCCCAATAAGAGCAGCACACGCTGTGGTTGATGTGCTGGAGAACCCAAGGAACTCGTGCCTGAGCTGTGTTTCCTCCTGGACACACCAAGCTTGGAAAGTCCTGGGCTTTTAACTCGTTTTCTCTTTCCTGCAGTTTCCAGCATCCCAGAAACAGCCTCGGGATTATCCCAAATCCAGCCCCGTTCTCTGGGTGATGCCTCTTCCCTAAGGCAGCAAAAGCAAAGCATATTCTGAACAAAAATGGTGTCAGGGGCAGCTTTTTTAGCTTTTTGGAGCCACGTTCCCTCTCCTTTCAGGGATTCCTTTCCATCCAGGGATGGTCTCCAGTCCCGGGAAAGGGCAGAGGGTTCCTCTGCCCAGCAGCTCTGGCGGTACCTGATGCCTTGAGCTCCCTCTGCTGACCTCGGGACAGCAAATTAAGAACCAGCTCCATGAAAGCCTTTTAAAAAGAGACTGATTTCAAATTTAAATACCCAAACTAGGCAGGAATTTTGTGCCCCAATCCGTACATTCTTGCCTACATTCCATACCTATATATTTATGAAGGGTTGGCTGTGGAGTCAAGCAAAGCTGTTATTTAAAGTATGTCACAATACTGATTATTTTTTAAAATTTTTTGTCCTTCTAGAATTTCAAATGAGATTCAAGGTTGTTGTATAAATGTGTCATTTTGTTTAAAAACACCTCTTTTTAGCTACTGACTTCGGAAAGAAACCTGTACATCAGGTATAGCTCTGCACACAAAATACCATAAACTACACCAAGGTGGTTGTTATTAGTGGTTATTATTATTCTCTGATACCAACCACAGATATTTGTCAATTATTTGAACACCACGTGGCTGCTTTGGAAAGTGTGGCCAGTTTTTATCCTGACTCCTAAGATTTTTGGTTCCTTAATGGCTCCTCCAGGGTTGTTTCTTTGAGGATTTGCCCTGAGGACTCTGATATTTGGAAATAAATGTCCAAAATCCACTCCCTGCAGCAGAGAATCCCTGAGTCTTGCACACTTAAACTGGGTCAGACATATCCCACAACCATTAAGGTTGGAAAACACCTCCAAGGCCATGACCCCACCACCTCCCTGGAGGTAAAACACCCCCAGGAAATTCCATGGTTGGAAAGCTGAAAAGTCTGGGAGATGGTGGTGGTTTGGTGTCTTTCCCCTGTGGGAGGGATGAAACATTTATAGTCCTTTTAAACTTGTGTTGGCGTTGAGGCTGTAAATGTATAAATGGGACACAATCCAACCTCTCCTCCAAACCCAGCCCAGGTTTCCAGCCCCGAGGAGCAGCTGCTGCTGGGTGGACCCTCCTTCCCCCTGCCTGTCTCAGTCACTCCTGGCTGTCCACGTTTATAAAATGAGGAGCATCCACCTCCCCTCAGTTCTGCTGAGTTCCTTGCCCGGGTCACAGCAAATTTCCTTTCACACCTTCCTCACAAACTGCCTTTTTCTTTCTGTTGGGAGGCCCCTGGTGACCTCCTAAAAGCTCCTTGGCTTTGCTGCTGTGGCCAGTTTTCCTTCATCCCTCACTTTCTTGTTCAGATCAGGTATTAGAAACAATTTTTCCCTGCAGGAGTGGTCAGGCCTTGGAATAAGTGTCCCAGGGAGGTGGTGGAGTCCCTGTGTCTGGGAGTGTCCCAGAGGTGTCTGGATGTGGCCCTTGGGGACATGGATTGGGGGTGAT